ACGCGCTACCGGGAGCAGCGCCGGCTCCGCAGCCTCCGTCCTGACCTTCCCCCCGGTGGCAGCCCGTCCTCCTGGGAACACGGAGGCTTCCATCTGCTGCTCAAGGATGAAATACAGATGAAAAGAGATGATTTCATGGCTGATCTCCTGACTTGGTGGGGTCCATGGGGAGTGGCCCATGGCGATGTGGTCTGGTAGGTGCCCCTTTGGTTGCGTGTTTGGGAGCGGTCCAGAGGTTTGGCTCTGCCCTTTCGCTGGCCGGCACGGCCACGAGGAACCTCTCTAGATGTCCTACCTGCGTGCCTAGAGGAAACCTTGGTGGGACAGGGATGACAGCTTCATCTTGAGGGCAAACCCCGATGGAACCCCAAATGCTGACCCTAGCTGCAACGAGGTTGCACCAAAGGCCACGGATTCATTGTCAGAAATATATTTACAAGATTATTTAAGGCTTGAAACAAAACCCCTTGGCTTTCACTCTGATAATACTCTCAGAATTTCTTTATGTCACTGGAGGCTGGACTAAGCTGGAGCTTGGTGGGGGTGGTGGGCAGGCGCTTGGGCGTCTTGGCCATTGAGCTCTGTTGACTTTCGCCCATGACTCCTGTTCCCTCCCGTTCATTTTTAATGAGGTTTCCAAAGGTCTTGAATGAGCGAGTGGTACTATAGAGGTGTTCCTGGAATTGTTTCATGAGATTTTAAGCTCTTCAGTTTTCTGTCAAGTTGGTAAATGAGCTGTTGGTGTCTTTAAGGTGTTTGTTTTCCCCCTTCTCTGCAGACACCTCAGGTCGTGGTTGCATTCCTCCTCCTTTGCCACATTCTCCAAATCTCATCTTGCATTTTAGATAAATTGTTCGTGAGCTGGAGGGACGATGGTGTTCAGGCAGGTAAAGCCTTTCTGAAATATAGGCAGGGACCGAGCTGGTTTGGAGCCAACCCAGGGAGCGGGATGGGGACATAACCCAATGATTTCTTGGGGCGCCGGCACGGGGAGAGCCTTTGGGAGTGCCACCGGTTCCGCCACGCGCTCTCAAAAATCATCAGGGTAATTAGCACGAGGTCTGAGCCGTCTCAGCTGAGCGCGGTGGCTCCTCTGAACCCCGGGGTTTTCTAGGAGCAGCGATGTCTAGAGATGACATCTCGGGGGCATCCAGCTCAATCTCCATGCCAAGGCACATGTCCCGACACCGCTGCTGTGGGTGGTGCGGTTAATGATTTTGGCTGATGGAAAACACGTCCATCACGGGCTCAGCTCCGCGTGTCGGTGTGCCGGGCGGGTGCCCCAGGGCAAGAAAGGGGTTCTTCCTCCCAGCACTGTGGGAAAGCTGAAAAATCGTAGAACCATAGAATGGTTTGGGTTGGAAGGGACCTTACAGGTCATCCAGTTTCAACCCCTTGCCATGGGCAGGGCCACCTCCCACTAGCCCAGGCTGCTCAAAGCCTCATCCAGCCTGGATGAATGGGAAATGAACTGGGATGGGAGAAAAAAATGTCACTGAAGTGAATCTATATGATAAATAAATGCTAAAGAACGAAGATGGGCTCGTGGTGGTGTGAGGATGTGGTCGGCGTCTGCCAGCATGCAGCCCAGACCATCCCAAGGGAGGATACGAACAGCCGTCTTCACTTGCAGCGGCAGCTTATTAGCAGTGATATATCAGTGTCCTGGTGCTGGTTTTTTCTCCTGTCAACACCAGCTGCTTATCAAGCAGATATTGCACTATATTTTTGGGGAAATAGTCTAAAATTGATGTTCATAAGCCATTGCTGATCTTGTAAGCAGCTGCTGTAAGTGGGCGTCTGTTGCGTTGAGCGTAGAGCTGTGGCAGAAAAGGATTAGGTTCAGTCATATTTATAAGAATGGAAAATGTAAATTCTGGAAGGGTTTTAAATCTCTGTGCCCAGGGAGTGAGATGCTGGTCATCCCTGGTGGTACCTTCTTTTTTCTCGCCAGACATTTAGCACGATGATTTAAACCCCCATGGCATCTCTAAGCCCTCTAGTAGTAAATATAAGGAAAAATGGATTAATGCTTAAAAGGTGGAAAAAAATACCTTTATATACTTTTGCCTTTCATCCAGTAATACTGGATCTAAACTGTCAGGCATTTGTATGTTCTTAAATCTAAGATGAAAGACTGAGTCTTTTTGAAAGCAGAAAGTTTTTTAGGTGTTTAAACCTTAAGAATAACAGAAATAAAAGGTCGGGTTCTCAGCTCCCGTGAGAAGATTCAGCTTTGGGGTTTTCAAAGACTCACATTTGCACCTGAAAAAAGTTTTGAGTCTGGCCAAGTCCTGTGTCAAAAAGGAAGGAGAAGGAAAAGCTGAGCCCGAAGCTGCTCCTGGGCTTGTCAGTTGGATCCCCTTTCCCATCTCTGCAAGGAGCTGTGGTAGAAAATACTGGCAAAGAATGTCCTAAAGTACCGCTTACACATCGCTTTCGTGGTGAGGACTCGGCAGAGCTGTTGTGCTGTCAAGTCCTGATGATTAAATTACTTTTCCCATCCCGTCTTGCTCGCGTTCGGCTTATTAAGTTGACATTTCATCTCAATTATTTGCTCTTCTTCACGCCCTCCCGGTGTCGCCTGTCATTCACTCTTTATTCGGGCAAGTCTGGCTGGCCGGAGGAATGCGTGCGCCAGGGCAGGCGTGTTTGCTGCGGCCGTTGCAGGCATAGGTAACCCTTTAGGTACCTCCATGCCTGCTGATCGGACCCTTGCTTGGTGCGCAAGAATTCCTCTTAAATTTTTGTCAACGGGGCAGAAAACCTTCTTGAAGGGGTTTCCTTTTGACTTCACCAAGGGTTGAGCATCTCCAAGGGTTGCAACCTTCTATGCAGATTCCTGGTGGTGTGCGTTGGGATTTTCTCGTGCTTTTCCAAGAAGGGTGACCAGCATGGGTGTGGGTCTCAGGGCATGGCTGCAGGGCTTTGCTTCCTCATCCTCTGCTTCCATCTGGGTCTTCTGCTCCATAAGACATCAAAACTACTTGGTCATAGCAAAAACTCAAGTGTCTGTTGGAAGTAATGAAGAAAAATCACAGTTGGGTAGCGATGTGCTTCCCACCGCGGCTGGGGATGAGGAATTGGCACGAGCGGTGTTTTAAATAACAAAATGTGTCAGAAGAATGTGCGTAAATGATGAAAAGCAAAAAACAAAAGACCGACGCTCCGCTAAACTTTATGGTTGCCATGCTTCATCTTAATTTTAGTGAAGGTGTTTGTTTGGAGGTGAGTAATGAACTCTCCTGGAGCCTGGGAACGGCAGCGAACAGCAGAGATGAAGTACCCTGCCCTGGAATGCATGAGTCTGCTCTTTTTTTTTTTTTTTTTTTTTTAAATAAATGATGATTTTTTCCCCCCTCCTGCTGAAGATGAATACGGCCTGAAGATCCACAACAACTTTGCAAAGCTGGTTAAAAACACTTCCCAGCAAATGCGTCAAACATTTGCTCATCCCTCCGCGCCACGGCGGTAAAACTTGTGATACTTCGCTTGAAACGCCACGTAAACCCTCGCTTTAATCCCAGTTTAAATACAATTTGTAAAAGGGTTGTAAAAAAAAAATCTATGAGGTCTCCTAAGCCACTCCTTGTTTGCAAGAAAGCGTGTTAAAGTCCTTTGTCTGCATTTGAAGACATAATCTCTGGCTGAAGCTGTTTTCATGGTAGCAGCTTCAAATATTATTGTGGGGTTACGCACGCAGACATCGGGATCGTTCTGTGCGGCGTCAGCCGGTGGGTTTGTCAGAATCTGGGCTCTTGTGTGAAAGGATTTCCCCATTTTTGTGGGTTTAATATATGCTGCACACGTGTGCAAATCTTATCTGCAAAATCTTACCTACCCAACTCTTTATCTGCCACAGATTTTGGATGGCGCACAGCAATACTTGGGGAATGGGGGAAATGTTTTGAACATTTGGAAATGAGGGAGAAATTTGGGTAGGCTGTAAAAAAAAATGCTCCCACATGTTCAATGCCCCTAAATGATGCTTGGTTTGAGTTGACTGAGAGTGTGGTACTTGTAACAGGTGAGACTTGCTGCTGTGATGCAAAATAAATTTGATTAGAATAAAAGGAATAAAAGGAACCTTAGGTTTAGGAAGAAATTTATCACTATGAGGGTGGTGAGGCAGTGGCCCAGGTTGCCCAGAGAAGCTGTGGATGCCCCATCCCTGGAGGGGTTCAAGGCCAGGCTGGATGAGGCTTTGGGCAACCTGGGCTGGTGGGAGGTGTCCCTGCCCATGGCAGGGGGTGGCACTGGATGATCTTGAAGGTCCCTTCCAACCCAAACCATCCTGTGATTCTATGATTCTATAAGCACTATGTGTGTGAGACACTCCAAGTTTGTTTTCTGCTCCCTAGTAGCCAAAGCTAAATCTTGAAATGTAAGCCTCTGCTGTGGGTAACGGCATTTTGAAATTCCTGCTTTGGAATATGTATGGGCACTGATTTAGTTGTAGGCTGGAGTTTTGAGTTGTCGTCAGCACTATTTGGACCTATCAACAAGCTAACTACAGGCAATCTTGTGTAGGACCTCAAATAAAATCTCTATATTTTCTTATTTCTGTTACAATGATACTGAGAGATGCTTAAAGCTCTGAACACCCCAAGGTTGTCCTGGATTTGAGTTGCTCCTAGACACTCTGCCCCTGATGAGGTCTAATCACAGAATCACAGGATGGTTGGGGCTGGAAGGGCCCTTCAAGCCCATCCAGTCCCACCCCCTGCCATGGGCAGGGACACCTCCCACTAGCCCAGGTTGCCCAAAGCCTCATCCAGCCTGGTCTTGAACCCCTCCAGGGATGGGACAGGCCTGCTAGGGGCAATGGGGAGCCCTAGAAGGTGATTCCCGTGAGAGACAGTGGTTGCAGGAGTGAGCACTTCGTGAAGGTCCCATAGCAGATGGAAGCCACTAAAGAGGCTGGACTGCAAGTCCTGGGCTGCGGTTCCTCTTGCGTTTTGTGCTCGATGGCCTCACTGGGTCTGGCTTTTCTCTTGCAGGGGAAGGTGGCGCAGACGGCGTGCATGTCGGCGTGCAAGCACCTCTCCACCTCGCTGATGCAGCTGCTGCTGGAAGCCGAAGTGCGGCAGCTGACGCTGGGCGCCTTGCAGCAGTTCAACCTGGACGTGGAGGAGTGTGAACGTAAGAATCCTCTCGTTTTCCATGTCTGCCTTTGCCCGTTTGTATGTCGGGACCCAAACCGGGGCTTTTAGTGATGCTGAGTGTTGAGGACCGGTGAACGCCTGCAGAGCTGGCTGGTGCTGGCCACGATGACACTTGGCAGTATCTCCAGGACAGAAGCAGCCCAGCAAATTCTAAGAGATCAAAGCTTTACTCTTCTTTTTTGTCTTTAATGCTGCCTTGATGCTTTCCAGACTGTCCCTGCTTTTTGAGACTAAAAAATAGGAGGGATTGGAGTCTAGGGCTAACAAAAATCAGATTACTTATAACTGGTTCTGAAAATAATAACTGGCTTACGTTCTTAAGAAGTTCTGGTCCTCTCTTGACCTCAGCTGTTTGTCTTCTCGATCTGCCGCAGGGAATTTTTTCTCAAAGCGAACCCTTTTTGTGAAATTGCTGTTATGGAAAAGAGATGTCTGGCGACAAAATAACTGCGTGTGTTCAGAGGTGTGTGTGGAGCACCGCGGCTTTGCTCCCCACCCTGCTCGTTTGGGTTCCTCTCGCTTACACCTGAATCCGCTCGGAAATCCCAAGGTTTTCCTCAAGTTGCTTGTTATCCTGCTCAACAGAGGAATTAAGAAATTATAACACAAGCTGACAAAATGCTTTTTTTCTTCCTATTTTTGTAATTGAAGCTAAAACAGGGTGAACACACACATCTGCCCAGGAACCTCTCTTCCTGATGAGGCGGATGGTTTTAGTATTGGGATTAATTGGGATGGATTAGTGACCATGGCTGTGGAAGGAGCTTGGTAGGGCTGATAAAGCATTGAGGAAATCTTTTAATTCCAGAAAGGATAAAGTATTTTGAGGAAGTTGGTTTTTTTTTTCCCAAATACCCGCTTTTTTGGCTTTCTTGGTTGATGGGGAGATTGGGATGTGTCTTCTTTAGAACACAATAAATCCGTGGAGTCTTCCATTAAACCCCACAGCAAAACAGTCCCTGGCCTCAGTGTAAATGGTATTGGAGCCTGAAGAGTTGTGAGTTTGCTTTTCCCGTCTCTGATAACTCAGTGAAATCAGTTGTGTTGGTTTCATCATTGTCTGGCATTTCCACTGTCCAAAGATACTCTTCCACCCTTTATAAAACATTTCATTGGTCGTATTTTAGTTCAGCTGCACCCACCAATAGTGAGATTAAATTTATTTCTGAGAAAGATCCCCCAGCAAGACTTTTGGTCTTTCCCGGGGATATTTTTTAATTTTTTAATGTCCTTTTGCTAATTCCCAGCACTCTCAGCCGAGTAGCCTGGGAGAAGGAGCCCTGCTTAATGAGTCGTATCCAAAAATTTGCAGCTGTATCATGTGTCGTAATGCGAACCAATATCTTATTTTTCTTTGAGAAGCACCTTCAGCCTTATATTCTGGCTGTTTAATTTGTGTCCCATCAGCGCGTCGGGGCTGTGCCGGTAGCAGCTGTGTTCCCAGTCGGTGTCCGCGGAGGGACCGGCGATATTGCTGAGGATAATAGGAAGCATTTGTCATTCATAATAGTTTCCTTCTTTTTCTTTTGGGTGCAAACAGACTCGTAACCCTGCAGTTTTCCGCCCCATCGGTAACGTGGGTCACTAAGCAGCATCTCTTCCCTAAAAGCCCCCGATGCTAAGTAAAATGGATGACATTTCATATCGGGTTTAAAAGCACATTTCCTTAAATTCCAATTGTTTTGCAAGACAAACCCAGGAGCACTCAGACATTCAAGAGCAGGTGACGCCAACCTGAGCAGCGGGGCCGGCGGCCCGCTCCCCCCAGCCCGAGATGCCGTCGCGGGCAGGGGAATGGAGACGGATGCTGGTGCTGTAACCTTCCGATCCATCACTGTCAGCCCCCAGAACAGTCAACCCAGACAAAGTCTTTTTCTTCCTTTTTGGCGTCAAAAGTGCATTCCCTCATCCCTACGGGTTTGTCTGGTGGCTTTGCTGACACCAGGGATAATTTTAGTTCTGGTTTTGAGCAGTGCATTGAGATTTCAATTTTAGGAAAAGCCAATCCTGAGAGTGAACTGGTGTGTTCAGAAGATATGTTTCAATTTGCAAGGGTTTTGTTTGGGGTTTTGTTTTTTGTTTTTTGTTTTTTTTATCATTTACCTGAAATTGCAGGTGGGTATCTCAGCATCCTTATGATCCCAGCTGCATATTTGACTTTATCTCTCTGCCTCCAGCCCTCTTCCTCTCCCCGGACTCCCAAGCCTTACCTAGTTTAGCAGCTTTCTCGTGTACTTATCATATTAAAATAGGATTTTGTAGCTGTTTGGAGCACTTCCAGTGAGTTCTCTGATGTGGGAACATGGCTTCAGAGTTTCGATCTTGGAGTTTATTAGGCTTTTGTTTCAGTCTCTCGTGGATGCCGTAGGTATAAGCTGGTTAAGAGAGTGGTGAGGCAAATTAATAAAAGGATTTAGTCACATATTTAGCATGGTTTGAAAGTGGTGCAGATAATTTGCTCTGTATTAGAGTAGATCTAATACACATTACAAGAAAATGGTTTTATATACGCAATAGGTAAGAATTGTAGAGGTGAAGACGATGATGGCTTGAGCTTAAAACAAGACACCAGTAAATTAATTCCTCACACTTGTGGGTTCATAAAATATTTCCTTATTTCTAAATAAATTGCTATCCTGTCGGCATAAAAAAGGAATGGCTGCATGAACCGTTGCATCAGACTAAGGTTTGGCACCAGGCACGTGCGAACCTGGATGGGGAGAAGCAGGAGATCGTGTTGGGACCCCTTGCCTGCACCAGAAATTCCCCCCTCTATAAAAACGTGCTTGTTTTGCAGCTTCAAAGCACTGAATATACAGTTTATTAGTTTTATAGCCTTCAAAAAAAAAAAAAAGCTTTCTGAGGACTGGGGAGAAGTAATAAATTAAATAAACATTAAGAGGCAAATCTTGATGTCTTGGTTGTATGAATAGTCCCGTGTACGTCAGCAGCATTTTTGGTGGAGTGCAAGAGTGGAGCTGCAAGGCTGTAAAAAATCCTTTTAGGCTGCCTGTGATGAGAGAAACCTGGGAAAAACGGGAGCTGTGTTCCTGTGGCATTATCCCTCCGGTGAGACCATTTCTGGAGCCTCCGGTGGGACACAGCCCTTGGGGAGATGTAAGGAACCAGTTCTGCACGTCGAGGTGGATGTCCTCTTTTTTTTTTTTTTTTTTTTTCCCCCCCAGCAAAAAGCTGTTTCCCAAGATGCATGTTAGAGGTTTTAAAGTTTTTTGGTGCAGATTTACAGTGGTATGTACAACAGCTGGCATCCAGGGAAGGGCAAAAGTCGTTCTTACATCTGTAGCTGGCCAGGTATGAGTTGTAACTCTTGTTCGTGTTGCTTGGCTTTGCAGAGCTCTTTTTTTCTGCAGTCAAGAGAGATTCTCTCACCTCCTTTTTAAACCTGAAGTGAAGTAAGGCGGAGAGGTTAAATGAATTGCCCAGAAAGGCACAGTAGGACACATCTAATTATGTCTCAATTTAGGAGTGAGTTCTGGCTCCAGCCCAACAAGCCAACTTGAAAAGAGGGAGAAAAAAAATAAAAAAGCCAACTCTGGAGAGGGGAAAAAAAAAAACCTAACACAAATATTTCCATGAACCTGTAAATAGAGGAGGTGATGTTTTTTTCAAGAGAGGCATTTGCTTTTTTAAAATGGGTTGCTGCCTTCCAGAATACGTCTGTAACCCAAGATCTAACAGCACGTGCAGTGTGCTTTTTGTAATTGCTGTGTGCCTTGTAACCCGGTTCCCTGCTCTGCTCTCTTTTGGATCTCCTGGTGCTGATATATTTATTTTGAATATATATATATATCTCCTGTACCTCAGAGGTAGTGGGAATCAAATGTAACAACCCAAATTTGGAGATTGCGACTTAAAAAAAGCAAAAAAGAAAGGGGACCACTCTCATTCCTACAAAAGTGTTTCCCATCTACATAACGGGTTCCAGCAGTGGTTGAGGCAGATTGTTTTTACAATACTTAGATCATAAAATAAGCAGTTCCGTAATCTCTAAAGTCTTTTAACTGCAGCTTTATGAGAAATCAAAAGCGCCATAAAAATTATATTTAAAATTTCATTAAACTCTCAATTTTGGGTCAGCCCACTCCTGGGAGCAGTCAATAAGAAACACAGATGTCTCCGCTGGTTTGAGGAATCCTCCAGCCTGACACTCGATTGTGCCAAAATGCACCGATACAGGTCCCAGCACAGTCCTTTGCCACCTCCTCCTTGGCCACGTTGTCTGGCTCTGAGGACTTTCTCATGCGGAAATCCCGATATTTGTGTAAGATGCCGGGATTTGCCCACCATGCCAGAGGAGTCCTCTCCCTCGAGCGTGGACTTTGGCACTGTACAAAAAGCTGCTTGATGTTCTTCCAACCTGCAACCCATCGGGGACTGGTGTGCACCACCCTAGAGGTGAGCACGGTGGGTTTGAGGACAACTCCCTGGATGCTCCATCCCTGGAGGGGTTCAAGGCCAGGCTGGATGAGGCTTTGGGCAACCTGGGCTGGTGGGAGGTGTCCCTGCCCATGGCAGGGGGTGGGGCTGGATTATCTTGAAGGTCCCTTCCAACCCAAACCATTCTGGGATTCCATGATTTTAGGTTATTGCACTGTGTCATTGCTGGTATCCGTCCTGCCGCAATGCACCAGCAAAAGGTCGCATTTTAGGGGGGAAAAGGGAACATTGCAATGAACAGAGAGAAAGGTTTGAGCAGGTTGCATCAGGAGAGAATCCTCACGTCACTGATGCTTATCTGTGGAGCGGGTCCAGAGGAGCCACGGAGATGGGCCGAGGCTGGAGCAGCTCCCGTGCGAGGACAGGCTGAGAGAGTTGGGGGTGTGCAGCCTGGAGAAGAGAAGGCTCCGGGGAGACCTTCCAGCACCTTCCAGTGCTGAAAGGGGGCTACAGGAGAGATGGGGGGGCTCTGGATCAAGGGGATCCTTCCCACCTCTTCACCTATCAGAACTCATTAGG